AAACTGCCCTGACAAGGGTTAAAGCGGAGGGAAGGCGGGGCCGGGCCGGTGAGTGGGGGCGGGGCGGGGTGAGCCTGCCCCCTCCCCCCTGGCCTGGGGGGTCCCCGCCCCCTTCACCCCAGCCAGTGGGAGGCCAGGGGCCGCCCCTGGGGGGGGTGAGGGGCGCCCCGTGCCCCCAATTCCTGGCCCTCCCCCGGGGGTGTGCGGGGGGGGCCCTGAGGGGGGGGGCTGCCTGATTCCCTGGCCGGGGCGTAGGCGGAGCCCCCATGGAGCTCTGGGAGGGTGGGGCTGCGCTCTGTACCTCTCCCCAGCTTGTGAGTGGAAGGGGCTGGGGGGGCCCAGTCCAGACTGTCCCCCCCCCAGTCAGACCCTCATGGGCTTAGGCAGGAGCAGGACGGGGGCACACCTAAGCCCTCTCCACGCGCCGCCTGCCTGCGCTGTGACCATCCCTGTGTCCCACGCTGTGCCTCAGTCCCCTCCCCTCCCTCCCCGTGCTTCTGTCAGGACCCCCTAGTCACCACACACCAGGGAACAGGCCCTTCCTGACTGATGATGGAGAGGGAGTGATCGACCATAAATGTCAGGGAGTTACCCACTCTACTCCACGGGGAAGTTTTCTAAACTCTCTGAGCTAGAAGTGTGAGGGTGAGATTAAAAATCCATTTTGCTGTTATTTTAACACTGCTAATTGGAAGGCTTTGAACGCATGTTTTAAAAATAGCGAAGCATTGATGATACAGTCTCTCTCTTTTTATACTCCTGGAATCGCTGGCAGGAACAAAGCATATTTATAAAGAAAAATGGAATCTAGTTATTTTATTAGCTGCATTGTTGCTAGCACAGCGCAATTATTAGTATTTGTTACGAGGCTCTAGTTGCCATAAACATTATGTATTTTTAAGGTAACTGTTTGTACAGAAGTCAGTCTATAAAACAGCCTCAAAAACTTTACAGAGTTAAGAAATAATAGAGAGTGGTTTTAGGGACTTAGGTAAGACAGAAAAAAAGTTTTCACTTGAGATGGATATTTGATGTATGGGAGAAATATCATAAGGGTTTTCTAGAAGCAGATTCTTCAGAGGAAAAGTTTTTTGAACCAGCAATATCAAGTTTTTATTAAAGGGAAGGATGCTTGTGGCAGATGATTGCAGGGGTATATTTAATACTTCAGAAATAGTGATTATAGCTCTTGGTGAGGATCATCATATAGGGATAAATAAGTAGTAATATAAGACAAGTGTAGTGAAGTTTGATACTGGGAGGAATAGGATTACATTTTTAATCTGAAAATTTTAATGTAATTTATTCAACCACTGTCTGGGTCAGCAAAAAAATTTAAATGTTGTTGTGTAGTTAGGATTAAGGGATAAAGAACTCTGAGCTTTTGTGCTGAATTGCACAAGATCTCTCTTCTACAATCAGCTTTGCAGCCTTTTGGCTAAGATCAAGTGCATAGTCTCCTTAGTGGGCACAAATGCCCATTATAATAGTCACTATGGGCCCAATTTTGACATAACCATGATTGTGCCTTTCTCTGCAGGTATGCCCATTAAAATTGAATACTTGTGGAATAAGATATAACTTAGCATGAGCATGGATGTCAGAACTGAACTCTGTTAGAGTTGCTTAATAGAACTCCACTATGAATATTTGACAGACTGCAAATTGATTCCCATTTGTTTTGGTCTTATACTGTTTTTCTTGCCACAACAAGTAAATGGCAAAGTTGTTTTTAATGTGATGAATGTAACAAAACAGAGGGGTGTTTTGCAGTTATTTATTATCTCAGCCAAACTTCTCATGGCCTCAGGCTGTATCTTACTTGCACCAAGCATGCTATTTAATAGTCTATGTACTAGAGTTGTAAAAGGTTAACCAGTTAACTAGTAGGGGCTGGAGCAACTCCCCACCCTCCTGGGGCAGGAGGTTGCTCCAGCCCTGACATGCCACAGCAGTCCTTGTATGTGGTGGGCCCACACAGCCTGCAGCAAAGCTTCATCTTTGGTACCAAGGCTCTGACTATTGTGGTCTAGGTCCTCTGTTGTCTCCTTTTTGTCACCCAACAGAGCTTTTCATCTGAAGATCCCGAGGCCAAGGTGTTGAGCTCTGGGGGATGAAATTCTTAGTAAAACAGAGCCTATATAAACTGATTGTATGGCTGAGGAATAGAATCGGTTTGTCCCTAATGTGTGTGCATGCAGGCAGGCAGTTTTGTGAGGAGGAGGAAGACCTTCAACCCATTGCACACCCCTTGTGGAGAATGGGTTTAGACCAGTGGATGTGTAATAAAGGCACATTCACTCAACCCACCTCTAACTCCACCACCACCAAGTTTCAGTGCATCTTGCCTTTGACTATCCTGCTCGCAACCTTCTTTCTGGTTTTAGGGTGTTGCAAATTTAAGAATGTGGTGCAAAGTGTGATTCTTGGTGCCCAAAATAACATGGAAGATTTAGATGTCAGGTCAAAGAAAAAAACAAATTATTTTAAATCTTCATTATTCTGCTGTTGAATAATGAGAGATGAGCCCAAGCGGAAAGATCTGATTATAGCCAGAAGAAAGATTTCGTGGTAACGAATATGCTTTGTTTTGAAATATCTGTGCAACTAAGCTTTTCTTTTTTTTCTTGTATTCTTTACAAGTGCTAGGATGATTTTTGATGGGGATATTGGAATATTCAAAGACACATATTAACATCTCCCCCACTCAATTAAAATGCTTTTGGTATTTCTGTTAACTCAGGGGAAGGAAAATATCAACTGTAATATATATACGAACATGAAGTATTTACATAGCAGAATAAGATGAGCTGTTATGGGAGGGAACCGTAGTGCTTCCCTAATTCAGGTTGAGGATTTTCACTTAAAGTTAAAATCCTGTGCTTCACAGTTTAATATATTTAGTTTCTAAATGTGACACAGTTAGTTGTCTGGGAATAGCAGAACCTGATATTCATTTACAGATAAAATTCTTTCTTATATTACTATTTTCATATAATAGTTTAAAAGTTTTGTAAAAATTTTTTTGCTTTGTGTAGTGTGAATAATGGAGTAAAACAGACTTTTCAAAGTAAGCAGAGCAGTAATATATGTTTATAATGTGTCATAGAATCATAGAGCTGAAAGAGATCTCAGGAGGTCATCAAGTCCAGCCCCCTACCCAAAGCAGGACCAATCCCAACTAAATCAACCCAGCCAGGGCTTTGTCAAGCCGAGACATAAAAATCTCTAGGGATGGAGATTCCACCACCTCCCTAGGTAACCCATCCCAGTACTTCACCACCCTCCTAGGGAAATAGTTGTTCCTAATATCCAACCTAGACCTCTCCCACTGTAACTTGAGTCCATTACTCCTTGTTCTACCATCCGTCACTACTGTGAACAGCCTTCCATCCTCTTTGGAACCTCCCTTGAGGAAGCTGAAGGCTGCTATTAAATCCCCCCTCACTCTTCTCTTCTGAAGACTACACAACTCCAAATCCCTCAGTCTCTCCTCATAGGTCATGTACTCCATCCCCCTAATCATTTTGGTTGCCCTCCACTGCATCTTCTCCAATGCGTCCACATCCTTTCTATAGTGGGGGGCCCAGAACTGGACACACTACTCCAGATGTGGCCTCACCAGTGCCAAATAAAAAGGAATAATCACTTCTCTAGATCTCCTGGCAATGCTACTTCTAATGCTACCTAATGTGCCATTAGCCTTTTTGGCTGCAAGGGCACACTGTTGACTCATATCCAGCATCTCATCCACTGTAATCCCAGGTCCTTTTCTGCAGAACTGCTACTTAGCCAGTTGGTCCCCAGCCTGTAACAATGCTTGGGAATCCTCTGTCTCAAGTGCAGGATTCTACACTTGTCCTTGTTGAACCTCATCAGATTTCTTTGGTCCAGTCCTCTAATCTATCTAGGTCACTCTGGACCCTATCGCTGTTCTCCAGCATATCTACCTCTCCCCTAGCTTAGTGTCATCTGCAAACTTGCTGCGGGTGCAATCCATCCCCTCATCCAGATCATTAATAAAGCTATTGAACAAAACCGGTCCTAGAACTGATCAGTGTCCCCCAAAACTATTTAAGATAAAATTTTTAACAAAAGGTGAGTACTTTGGGAATAGTTGAGGTGATTCTTGAGTGATGTCTGCCGACGTCAGAGGTAATTTAATCAGCCACCTGTCTCCTCTACTTAATTTGTAGGTTGCAGTTCATTTGTGATCGTGGGAGGAGGAGAAGAGGAGGAGTCAGGAAGGACTGTACCAATATGATGATGTTTCTCACTGGTAGATTCTTTATTTATCTTTACACAAGCAGTTTACCCTAAGTGTCACCATTTTTAAAAGGTGTGTGCTGCATGCTTAAGCTTGATCTCTGTAGTAAGGTTTGTTCAGTACAGTTGAACAGGAGTTGTGGAAGGTGGTTAACCTCTTTTTAATAGAAAGAACAGGAGTGTATTGTATCTTTCTAAACTTAGACAGTATCTCATGTTAAAAGATTCTGTGACAACTACCTCAATATCTCTGTTCTCTGACCTTGCCTCTTCACATTTCTGTTCACGTCTCTATGTCCTCCTTACACAGTTGCTTATGCGCCTTTTTCCCATCCTTGCTTCTTATGGTGGTACTTTCTGGTTTTGGTAGGGGCTGTGGAAGTGGTAGGGGAGTGACTGGGTCTGTGGAAGAAAGGATGTGGGGGCTTCTGATATGTACTTTTAGCTTTAACTCTAGTATAATATAACTTTTTTAATCTGGGGATAATAAAGGAGGACTGGTACAATTCGCAGATTAACAAACTAATCCTATCAAACCAGAAACACAGACCAAATCCCATCAAACTGCATTTCCTTATCTTTGAAACAGCATGAGGCCCTCTCTGAATTTGCCAGCACATTAATTTCATTATATCGCTCAGTTATATATAAACAAAGTGCCTTTGGACATGAGAGAGGCTGTCAATAAGAATAGCGTCTATAAAGTGTAGACAGGGCCTGACGCCACTCACCTTACTCAATCAAAACTCCCATTGAGTAGAGACTGCAGGTTCAGAGATGGAATGTGAGTGAAATCTTTATTACAAAAGTCCTTGGACTGTTTGGGATATCAAAGGTCAATACCATTTGAAGTCTGCTTCATACATTTTAAAATACTAAAACTATTGGACTCAATCGCAGAAGTGTTGGATATGTGTTTTAGAAATTGTGCTTGAAATGAGGCCCAGAAAACATTAATACTTGGTGTATTAAGTTGGTCTCTGTCTCTCTAGGGAGAAAAGTATATTATATTTAGTACTGTTGATTAATCACAATTAACTTGTGATTAATTAAAAAATTAATTGTGATTAAAAATTGTGATTAGTTACATGATTAATTGCACTGTTAACTATCGAATATAGATTGAAATTTATTAAATATTTTGGATGTTTTTCTACATTTTCAAATATATTTATTTCAGTTCTAACATAATACAAAGTATACAGTGCTCACTTTATATTACAGTATTATTTTATTACAAATATTTGCATTGTAAAAACAAAAGAAATAGTATTTTTCAGTTCACCTCATAGAAGTACTGGAATGCAATCTGTTGTGAAAGTACAATTTGCAAATGTATATATATTTTTCTGTTACATAACTGCACTCAAAACCAAAACAATGTAAAACTTTAGAGCTTACCAGACCACTCAGCCCTACTCTTCGGTCAACCAATTGCTAAGATAAACAAGTTTGCTTACTTTTACGGGAGTTAATACTCCCAGATTCTTATTTACCATGTTACCTGAAAGTGAGAGCAGGCAATCACATGGCACTTTTGTAGCTGATATTGCAAGATATTTACGTGCCAAATATGCTTAACTGTCGTACGCCCCTTCGTGCTTTGGCCACCATTCCAGAGGACTTACTTCCATGCTGATGATGCTTGTTAAAAAAATGCATTAATTACAGTTTGACAGTACACCTTACGGGGGAGAATAATATTTTTCCTGCTCTGTTTTACCCACATTCTGCCATATTTTTCATGTTATAGCAGCCACAGCCCAACACATGCTTGTTTCAAGAATGCTTTCACAGCAGATGTGACAAAACACAAAGAAGGCACCAATGTGAGATTTCTAAAGACAGTTACAGCACTCCACCCAAGGTTTAAGAATCTGAAGTGCTTTCCAAAATCTGAGAGGGATGAGGTATGGCATGTTTTTCCAGAAGTCTTAAAAGAGTAACACTCTCGTGAGGAACTTAGAGAACCCAAAATCACTGAAAAGGAAAATCAGCCTTCTGTTGGTGGCATCTGACTCAGATGATGAAAGTGAACATGCCATGGTCTGCACTACTTTGAATCATTATTGAGCACCTATCTTCAGCATGGACACATCTCCTGGTATGGTGGTGGATGAATGAAAGAACATATGAATCTTTAGTGCATCTGGCATGTAAATATCTTGTAACACAGACTACAACAGTGTCCTGCAGGGCTGGATTAACTCTTCTAGGGGCCCGCTGCTATTTTGTGGGGCCCTCTAGGCTCTGGGGTGGGACCATAAATGAGGTGTGTGTGGAGGTACTGTGGGTCGAGGCAGGAGAGTGGATATGGGAAGGGGTGAGGGCTCTGCTTGGAGGTGCAAGCTGTGAGATGGGGTGGGGATGTTTGGGATGCAGGCAGGGGCTCCCGACTGGGAGCAAGGGGTTTAGAGTGCAGGAGAGGGCTCAGGATAGGAGGCTAGAGGGGCTCGTCTACACTGGCCCCTTTTCCGGAAGGGGCATGTAAATTTCACCAGTCGTCGTAGGGAAATCTGCGGGGGATTTAAATATCCCCCGCGGCATTTAAATAAAAATGTCCGCCGCTTTTTTCCGGCTTTTAAAAAAGCCGGAAAAGAGCGTCTAGACTGGCCCCGATCCTCCGGAAAAAGTGCTTTCCGGCTTTTAAAAAAGCCGGAAAAGAGCGTCTACACTGGCCCCGATCCTCCGGAAAAAGTGCCCTTTTCCGGAGGGTCTTATTCCTACTTATTCCTGCATATATCCCTTTGAAGTAGGAATAAGACCCTCCGGAAAAAGTGAGTTTTTCCGGAGGATCGGGGCCAGTGTAGACGCTCTTTTCCGGCTTTTTTAAAAGCCGGAAAAAAGCGGTGGACATTTTTATTTAAATGCCGCGGGGGATATTTAAATCCCCCGCGGATTTCCCTACGACGACTGGTGAAATGTACATGCCCCTTCCGGAAAAGGGGCCAGTGTAGACGTAGCCGAGGTGTGTGGAGTCTAGGCAGGAGCTAGGGTGTTGGAACAGGCTCAGAGCTGGGATGCAGAGTTAAGGGGTCAGGTCTAGGAGAGAGTTAGGAACTTGGGGTGCAGAAGGGGGCTCAGGGCCACGGGTTGGGGTGAAGGGTCTGGGTGCGGGAGGAGGGCTCAGGCCTGGGGCGAGGGTTGAACTGTGTGGTGCTTACCTGGAGCAGCTCCCTTCTTGGGAGGGGAAGCAGGTAACTCAGGGTGGGCCATACTGCCCTGTGCTTGCCTGCAGGCACTGCAGTCACCACCCCTGCAGCTTCCTTTGATCATATTCCTGGCCAGCGGGAGCTAGGAGAGTGGAGCCTGCAAGCGAGGACACTGCAGGGATGGAGCTTCCCCTGGTGCTCATGGCGACGTGGCTCCAGCTCAGCAGTGGGGATGGCCGTGTGGGGAGCCATTTCCCCTCCCCTCATGCAGGCAGTGCCAGAGAACATGCAGGACTGTACCTGCAGCCCAGGGCCCTAGGCTAAAGGGGCTTTACAAAAAGATCTGGACATTTGGTAACCCAGAGATCTTTTTGCGGGACATCCTTTTATCCTGGGACCCTGCATATATCCCCCAAAGCCCCTTGCTTCATTCAGCCCTTGAGAAGCATTTGAGAAGTCTGTGAGAAGTCAATAGAACTATTCATATTCTTAAAGCTACCGTACTTATGTGCTTAAATGCTTTGTTGTATTGGGGCCATGAATAAAAATGTATTCTTAATTAAATGTGCAGGCCCCAAAGTGCAAAGCTAATATTATGTCTTTATTTTTAAGCTTCTGATGGATGAAGGAGGATGGCAAGTATTGTGTGTGTAATCCTAGATTTTTACCTATTTTAATCAGTAAAATGAAATGATCAGCTGAGGAACAGAATCATTCTGTTTGGAGGATGCCATTTTTGTTGTAACTTTTTCCTGACATAACAACACTTGAGCTTTTGCAACTTTCTATTATATTTAACTAGAAGATGTACTGGATATTGCTCAGTCCTTAACTGAGATAAGTTTTGTTTATCTTTATTTAAATCATTGGTCTGGGGTGGGACTGAGGATAAGGGGCTCAGTTTGCAGGCTGCCCTGAGGAGAAAGGACAACCCCAACCCTCTCTTACCACAGCAGCTTGGGACCAGGTGAGAAGCGTCTGTCACAGCTGGAGGAGGGGTGCATGTCTGGAGGACATACACACACACACGGGATGTCAACATGTAGACAACTACATGATTAACCGATAAGCCTGGACTTATCAGTTAATCTTGTGAAAGTGCATGCCCTCTTCCCCCACGCCCCGCTGGCTCTGTATCCTTGGCAGCAAGGACAGGGAAAGCAGGAGCATGTGAGGAGCTGGTTTTAAGCAGGTTCTCCATGAGTACTGGATCCGTCTGCCCTCCTCCTCATCACTGCTGCCTCTAATAGAGAGGCAGCAGCATGTAGGGTGAGGAGGGCAGGCTGGAGCTTTCAAGCAGCCTCCCCACACTTGCTGGCTCCGTGGACATGCCGCTCACCTTTCCCCGCTCCCTTCTACAGCCCATTGCCTCCTTAAAAGCTGGTTCTCCCCAGCACCATCTCTGTGGTGCTGCTTCCCCCTCGCCACTGCTGTGCAGCCTGGGCTCACCGTGAACAGAGGTTTGTCCATGACAGCAGCCCCTGTCTGTGGGGAGGGGGGTCGGCGTCAAGGTCCCTGTGGACAGAGTCTGCAATTGTGGATCAGCCTCTGTCCACAGGGAACTTGGACTCCCCTGATAGTGGCTACTGCCACCCTGCACTGCTACCTCTGTAGCAAAGGTAGCAGCACAGGGCAGCAGGCAGCCAGTCTGCGCAAGGAGCTGGTTTTTAAACAGTTTCCCCTGATGGACCAGCTTCTGCCTCCACCCTGGGCTGCTGCCTCTAATACAGAGGCAGCAACATTGGTGGCAGATGGTTCCCCGTAGGTGGGGCCCGGAGTGCACTGGCTGACAGTCCCACTTCTGGGCACTATAGAATAGTTGTGTAACTGCTAAGATTTCATGCAGTTACACAATTGTTCA